TTTATCATTAATATAAAATATAATTTATATAATAAAATATTTATTTATAAAAATTTTAAATATATTTAAATATAATATTTATTTTGTACAATTTATTATATATTTTAGTTATATATAATAAAAATTCAAGAAATAATAAAACTAACTTTGAAAATGTTCTTGCTTAATAATACTAATTTGAGATAAAGAAATAAAAGTTAAAATTAAAAATATCAAAAAATTTCCACTTATTTTTAATTTTGTTTTAAAATTTAATTTAAAACAAACTTTAAGATAGAAAAAATTGATCCAAACACATATTTTTAATTCATTTTATAACTTATTTCATGATATTATATATTTTTTTTTACTTTGTGAGTTTTGTATTGTAATATAATTTTATTATTGAAGAATTATTAGTATTTGTGTTGTGATTTTAAAAATTATTGTGATTTATACATTGTTATTAAAAACTATTAGTAGTATTTTTAATTAAAAGAAAATTACTTTTAGTAATTTATAATTTAATATTTTTGTGTTGTAGTCTTGAAATTGAATGATAAACAAAATTTATTTTGTTTTTTTTTAGACCAATCTATTAACATAGCAGATCAAAATTTCTAACCTACTTTTATTAAGTGGAGCGTGTCGAAATCGGCTAAGTTAGCTTGTGTTTGCCGCTTTTTTTTGGTAAATAATGAAAACTAAAACAGTAGACAAACTCAAGACATAGAGTCTCTACCTAACGGTAGCAAAATAAAATCAGGAGGGCTCCTCCAAAATACATTGGAACCTATGTTCCGTACACCCCACTTAGCCAGCGTATGAGCTACTGAATTCAACTCCATAGGGATATGACTCACGTAAACTTCTCAGCCCCTAGCTAGAATGCACTTAATGCGACGAATAACATCGTAGTGCTGATGCAGATAATCCCTTGCCGCTTTGTACAATATAAAGTGCATTGGCCTTTTTCAAGCTAAAGAACTAGAAGTTCTGCCAAATTATTTTTTGCTTGGTGGAGAGAGAAAAATGGTAAAAATAGGGGAAAAAAATAGAGTGCAAATAAAAATTCATTATTTAATAAAAAATTAAAAGATGAGAAGAAAATGATAAGACATGCTTAACATATTTTTTTTTTCAAAAAGAAATGAAGAAATTTATTTAGATGAGAGAGAAAAAATGATTTTATTTTCATATAATATTCTTCTTTTTATTTAACTTCTCTCTATATATATATTAGTCTATTTTGATCTAATTTATTTCTTATATATGAAACAATTATAAAATATATATATATATATATATATAT